AAGTGAGTTAATATTTAAGACAGAGCTAGCCAATAAGAAACTAGTAACTGGTCAACAGCATTATATCTAATACAGAGTCTGTGTGTTATTTGGGGCTGGCGTGGCGGTGGGGCCAGACCAGTGGGAAAAACCTACTCCTAACAAATGCTCCCTCTGTCTCTCCACCTTTCAGTCCCAGCTATGCTTACCATTATCAAGAAGGTTACCCCAGCCAGCCAGCCAGCACTGGTCATTTGAGTTGGAGGTCAAGTTGTCTTCTGGCAGACAGACTGGCCAGACATAACTCAGGAGGGTAGTCAGCTCCAGCAAGGCCAAGTCAAACCTCGTATTAAAATTGTTAAAGTCAGGGTAGATAATGATCTCACTGGTGTTCAGAAGCTCCTGTTCCTTGTAGAGGTATATTTCCCCCACCTGGACACAGAATAAGGCTGGGTCGCCATCCTGGCTAGGGGAGAACAGACCCTGGTTGGCTCAGAGGCAGCTGGTCTGGGTTAGCCCACCGTCTACATCCTACACCCAGAAGGTGCCCCCAGCAGTGTCTCACCTTTGGAGGGAGTGTGCAGCAGTCAGTACCTATTGTGGATGGATGATGGAGCCCCACAGATGTGTTCCTAGGAGCCTGTCTTGTAACTGTAAGTTCTCAGGCTGACCTACCATGGCTACCTCCCACAATGGCTACAGAGGCCTCTCACAATGCCCACTGGCTTGCTTTTGGAGGCAGATACTAAAAACAATATAAACAAGTCAGAGTACAAGGGCAAAGCCTCCTGTGACCCCCAACCTGGACCAGATGCTGTCACCCAATGTTCAGGTAAGCCATAAGAGTGAACAGTTGGGTCCAGGATGGTATTCCTGGTACAAAGCAGTTGCTGAGATGGGTTGGAACTTACCAGAAGCCATGAGCACAGGGCTTCCCAGGTAGGAGAAAGGCAGGAGCAATGGCAGGAACATCTGCAGGGGAAGTGGAGCTCTGAGAAGTGCAGGGCCTCAGCCACCACAGGGGCCAGGTACTACAGCTCACCTCCCTGGATGCACCCTCAAAACCCCTTTGTCCTCATGAAAGAATCGATTGGGCTTGGTGGAGCCTTCCTGCAACCGAGATGGCACTTGGAATATGGGCTTCTGTACCTCCCTGCTTTGGCCCACAGTGTTCCTGGCAGGAACCCACAGATCATCCCAAGCCCAGCACTTCACAGCCAGAGGAGTGGGCTCCAAGGACACATCTGCCAGCATCTGAAGGTATTTCTGGTTTGGAGCCAGTGGCAACTGGCACACACAAGGTAAAAGCCAGGGGTGCTGCCAAACACTGGGGCTTTCCCACACCACATATCCACAGTGTCCCATTAAAATGATCCGGTCCTGCCACAGACACAGCCCATTCCACCCATCTTGTAGGTGAAGCAAGGATGCCAAAGAAGCTTCCAGACACCAGCTGAGAATTTGTCAGTAACTGGCTCCCTGCAGTGTCCCTACTCTCCACAAAGGAGAATCAGGACACCCACTGCCCCCTCCATGGGGGTTTCAGAAGTGCTTTAGAGACAGGGTGACAGCTCACCTAGGCTCCCGGAAACACCAGGTTTTTGCCTATGAGAACCATTTACAAGGTGTTGTGAGACCTCCCCCAAACCAGGTGAGTGGGTTCAAATTGTCTATGGTACAATCTCTTTAGAGACTCAGTGACAGAAGTAAATCTGAGGTGGAAACAAGACAGACAATTCCCACACTCCTAGGCAAGAGGATGGGTTTATAAGCTAACCTGGACAAAGGTGACCCACAGCTACCTGGAGTAAACCCTGGCTTCCTCAAACACTATTAACAAGTCCAACACCAGTAAAAAGACCACTTGAGCATCAGAACTATCAGCTATCTTAATGACTTTGTTTATGCCTCAAGGTTGGCACCTTGTGCCAGTGTCGCCTAATGACAAAATGGAAGTGAGGGCCAACATGACCATGGTCAAGCAAAACTAGGTCTCCTTTTTAGAGGTGGAACATGATCCTCTGGACAAATTGCCTTCATCAGATTGCAAGAGGCCACCACTACTTTCAGTTGTTGCCTGTTGACATTCCTTCAAAGAGGGAGCAGATAACGGTCTTTGGATCCCTGCCTGAGAGTGCTGATCATTCTGGGACTGAGGAACAGCTGACTGTCACAGAGCGCAGTACCGCTGAAGCAAAATTTCCTATGTTTCATTGGGACATCAGGAACCTGTTTTCCTCAGGATCAACACACAGAAGCTGACTCAATGGAACTAAGCTACATATTGAGCTGGTCAAACTTGGCAACGTGGTAAGCATTGTTCTGGTGGTACTGGTGTTGCAGGCATGAAAAATGCAAGGTTGAAGAGGTCATGGAAAGCTGCAGGGTCAAATCCCTGCAGAGATGCTGAACACACATTGTTAATGGTGAAGCCTCAGTTATAGCGAGACTCCACACATTGAAGGTAGCAAGACTGTGGGCTGTCTGCCGAGGAGTACTGCAGGCGTGGGATGGAGCCGGCCTAGGAGAGAAGCCCCATGCTGAAGATGGCACAGTAGGAGGAATGGGACATCGTGAGCCCTTTGGAGCCCAGAAGATTGTTCGTGGGTCCCATATGTCAGACACTGAACTACAGGATTTGGATTTACGCTGCTGGATTTTAGTTTTGCTTTGATATAGCTCCCTTTCTGCCCTCGTTCTTCCCTTTAGGGATAAGAAAAGTTAAATCTATAGCTTTAAAAAGATTGATAGGATCTCATAGTTTACAGTCTTTGGGGGCTTTTTGGAGTTGGACTTACTTTTTGTCATATTAACAGATGAGACTTTGTAGACAAGGAAAGAAAAGTTAAGGCTTAAATGACATATGTGTGCATCAAGCTGACAAGGAGTGAATTGTCTTAGTCAGTGTTCTATTACTGTGAAGAGAGACACCATGACTGAGGCAACTCTTATAAAGGAAAGCATTTAATTGGGGCTAGCTTGCAGTTTGAGTGGTTTGTCCATTGTCATCCATGGAGAGCATAGTAAAGCACAGGCAGACAAGGTGATGGAGAAGTAGTTGAGAGGTCTATATCCAGATCCAGATCCACAAGCAGCAGGAAGAAAGAGACTCTGGGCTTGGAGTAGGCTTTTTGAAACCTCAAAGCCCATCTCCAGTGACACCTCCTAATCTTTTCAAACAGTACAACTTTCTGGTGACCAAGCCCTCAAATCTGTGAGCCTTTGGGGGCCATTCTTATTTAAACTACCACAATGACAAGGCCCAGAGTCACCTGGGAAGAGAATCATAAAAAAAAAAATATCTAGCTCAGATTGGCCTGTGGGCATGTCTGTGTGGTACTGTCTTGGTTGTTAACTGATGTAGGAAGACCCAGCCCATTGTGACACTATTTCGTAGGCAGAAAGAGGGTCCTAAACAGTGTAAGAGAGGAGCAAGCTAGCTGAGAACAATTATTCATATTTTTATTCTCCTTCCTGATTCACTTCCCTGCAATAACAGATTGTGACCTGGAGTTATGAGCCAAATAAACCCTGTCTGCCCAATGATGCTTTGCCTGGATATTTTATCATAGCACCAGAAATGAAAGTAGAACAGCCCATTTTAATTTGACTCTGCTCTAGCTGCAAATGTCCTTTGGATCTGGGAGGTATAGAGTACAGACTGTATATACCCCAGGAGATTAAATACAAAAGGGCCCCATCTGTGTGCAACCATCATCCTGAGCTGGGTGAAGACTTTCCAGGGAAGTTGCTTTGGAGCTTCAACAACACCTCAGCTGTGCCCTCTCTAAGCCCAATCAACCAACTGGTTCCCCAGGGTAAACTTTAGTGGAATCATACTTTGAGGATGGGATAAACATTGTTTAAGTCTCTCCAGGGAAGGGACACTCTTAACAGGTGGCCTCCACCCAGGCCCCAGAGTCAAGGTCAATGATGCTGCTGAGGCCACTTGAACAGAGCTAGGCCCAGCCTTGGGGGCTATGTTTGCCTGATCACCTTGAGTACTTAGCAAATGCTGTACAGCTGAGTTCTCCCCACGGCTCTGGAGTTGTTTTAATCCCACCTAAAATGAAGCTTATATGAGGGGAGATAAACTTTGGGAGTCTAGTCTGCAGGGAGTCTCAGAGGGCTAGGAACTGAATTCTTAGGCCTGGCCACCCACTGATGCTGTAAGTGCTCCTATGTTAGCAGATGTGTCCCAGGGTCATGAAAAAGAAAAAGAAGAACATTTTTGTTTTGGTTTGGTTTTTGTTTTTCAAGACAGAGTTTCTCTGTAGCTTTGGATCCTGTCCTGGAACTCACTCTATAGACAAGGCTGACCTCAAACTCACAGAGATCCACCTGCCTCTGCCTCCTGAGTGCTGGGATTAAAGGAGTGCACCACCATCACCCAGCAAGGAGGAGCATCTTAGTGCATCTTAAATCTGTGTTAGAGATGTGTGAGGTTTGTGAGCTTATTTTGCTTTGTCCAAGTGGCTTCACATCTTTCCAGCTCTCTCCAGTTTTTAATGTCACTTTGCAGACCTGCCACAGGCACGTATACCTGGGTTTTTCCTCGATGCCTCTCTTGTTACAATGGGGCTTATCTTGTTGTTATCTTTTTTGTTTGTTTTCTCACACAGGACATAAGATTCATTACAGAACATGATTTGGGGGGTGCAGGACAGTAGAGTGGAAGCACTCAGGAGAGCATGGACTGCCATTTGTTCAGGGGACCATAACTAGGAACATATTTCACCCCACAGCCATCTTCTCAGCTATCATGTCATCAATTTCATTTGCATTAAACTTGATGAAAACCCCATTTCTTTGAAGTGTACCTCCCAGTGGCCAGGGACCCTCACCCCAGCTCAATCAGGGCCTCAGTCACATGTTCCTTATTCTGCAGTTTTGTTTAGATGGACATGATGAGCTGGCCAATTCGAACCCTGACTACTGTGCCCTGGGGCTTCCCAAAGGCACCTGTCTGGAGCCCAGCTTGAGGACAACATTGAGATCAAAGATGTTGATAGCCACCAGAAAATTGTCTCCAACGTCCCTTAGGGCAACCCATAAAGGTAACCTGCACACATTCCCAAAGAGGCTGCCTTTTGCAATCACTTCACACTACATTCCCATGAGCAGAGGAACATGGATGGTTTAATTGGCTTCAGGGTCATTAGTGTTTTGAGGCAGGGATTTTGTAGCCCAGGCTAGCCTTGAACTCACCACAACCTTCCTGTCTGAGTTTCTTGAATGCTAGGATTATAGGCATGAGCCACCATACATGGCTTCATTGGGGTATCTTTCAAGTCCTGAACAGATTACTTAACTCATCAACGTTTCTGGTGCACCCCCTCCCTCCAGAAGGCCTTGCTCTTCCTTCTAAGACTCTATGGCCAAACTGCTGCATTTGTTTCTCTCCCACACAGGCACAAAGCAAAACTAAACCAATGACTGAGGTTTTCCAGCTGACAAGACAATGCACACAGAGATGGATCATTGCAGGACCCATGGGGGCAGAAGGGTGGTTTGCATAAATCAGTTGACAGACTGCTGATGACTAATGTTTATGAGTTGTAATGAAAGAAAGCAATTTCCCTTTACAAATATTGGAATACACACAGCACAGTTGTTGATGACATGTTTAGGAGAGTCACCCTGCCCTGAAGTCAGAGAATGGAACCTTGTAAGTGAGAATGTAGTATCATGGATGCTTGAGTTTGTTTGTTTCTGGCTATTTTTTGTTTTTTCCAAAGCAACTGTGTGCACCTAAACTTTGAAGATATTTTTGTTCTTTGGCTATGACAGAAACATCTTTTTTTTCTCCTAAGCAAACCAATTTCCTTCACCTTAAAAATGAGATGCTTTCCATGCAACAAAGACATCTGTTCAACTATGTTCATAGCAGCATTATTTGTAATAGCAAGAACTTGGAAGCAACCTACATGCCCCTCAACTGAAGATTGGATAAAGACGATGTGGCACATTTACACAATGGAATACTACTCAGAGGGGGAAAACAATGGAATCTTGAAATTCACAGGCAAATGGATGGAACTTGAAGAAACCATCCTAAGTGAGGCAACCCAGTCACAAAAAGAGGAACATGGTATGTACTCACTCATATATGGATTTTAGACATAAAGCAAAGGATCACCAGCCAATAATTCACACTGCCAGAGAAACTAGGATACAAGCAGGATTCTAAGAGATTCATGCAAGGTCCCTCACAGAAGGGGAAAGGGACAAGATCCCCTGAGCATATTGGGAGTGGGGGAAGCAGTGAGTGGAAAAGGAATTGGGAGAAAGAGAAGGGGAGAAGAGGAGAACATGTGGGACCAGGAAGATTGAGTCAGGGGATGACTAGACAAAAGCAAGAGAGAGAGAGAGAGAGAGATCATAATAAAAGAGGGAGCCATTATAGGTTTGAAGAGAAAACTGATTCTAGAAAAATATCCAGAGACCTACAAGGATGACCCCAACTAACAATCTGAGCAACAGTGGAGAGGCTACCTTAAATGTCCTTCCCTGATAATGAGATTGATAACTACTTATATGCCATCTAGTAGCTCTCATCTAGTAGCTGATGGAAACAGAAGCAGCCACCCACAGCTAAACACTGAGCCGAACTCCTGGAATCCAGTTGCAGAGAGAAGTGATAAGCAAAGGGGTCAAGACCAAGCTACAAAAACCCACAGAGACAGCTGACCTGAACAAGAAGGAGCTCATGGACCTCCAGACTGATAGCTGGGAAACCAGCATTGTACTGACTCAGACCCACTATCTCAGTTAGAAGGCCTGGACAGTCTAAGGGACCACTGACAGTGGAGCCAGGTGTTTCCCTGATGCGAGAAAGGACTTTGGGAGCACATTCCCCATGAAGGGATACTCTCTTAGCCTAGAGGCAGGAGGGAGGGCCTAGACCCTACTCCAAATGACTTGACACATTTTGATGATTCCCATCTGGAAGGCATCACCCTCCCTGTAGAGTGTGTGTTGGGGGGGAATGGGATGGAGGGGAGAGTGGGGAAGCATGGGAGGGAGGGAGAGGGAACTGGGATTGATATGTAAAATAAGAAAAATAATAAATGTATATATATATATTTTTTTTAAAAAAATGTGATGCTTACTAAAGTTTGCCTGGGGATCAGAATTCAAAGTTAGTCATGAATTCAAAGTTAGTCATAGCTGGGCAGTGATGGCACATGCTTTTAATCCCAGAACTCAGCAGACATAGGCAGATGGATCTCTGTGAGTTCAAGGCCACCCAGGGCTACATGAGAGTGAATCAGCCTAAAACAGAAACAGCTCACACCTTTAATCCCAGCACTAGAAAGGTGTCTAAGATAGGAGTAGAATCTCAGAGTTGGCATTCAGTATTCAGCAATTAGTCTCCAGCCACATTAAGGACAGGATCACCCAGCCTTGGTAGAAGTAAGAGCTCTCTGGTTGCTTGGCTGCTTTGCTTCTCTGATCTTCAACTTGAAACCAACCCCCCCCAAAAAAAATAAGATGCTTACAAAGAAAACATGACCAGGGGTGTAGCTCAGTTAGTAGTAACTGCCTAGCAAGCATGAAGCTCTAGGTCTTGCCCCTAGCCCTGTATCATCTGAGAGTGGTGTAAATCTGTGATTCCAAGCACTACAGAGGCAAAGGCAGGAAGGTCAGAAATCCAAAGTCCTCATCAGCCAGGCAGTTGGGTGGAGGCCAGTGAGGGCTATGTCCCATCACAATTAAAATACCATGTCCAGGGGTACATCTCCATGGGGAATGGCGATCTCTCCAGCCATGTTCCCAGCGCCAAGTGAGAGTGCCTCGGTGCCATGAGCACCAGTGGTGGAAAAGGAGAGCAGCCAGCAGAGTAGGAAGCAAGGCGTGATGACCTGTCTGGCTAAAGATTGTTGGACTCGGCTGTGTTATAATGCTTAGAGGATGGGGAGGGTGAAGAGCTCCTTGCTGGGCCTGTATGTGATACAGACAAGTGTAAGCAAAGTGGTCAGCCATGTTGTCACTGTCACAAAGCCCTGTGTTGGGCCTCAGATGACAAGTTCATAGCCACCCAGACCCTGAACCAGGACTTCAGGTCTGCTGGAGCCCTGTGTTGTGACCTGTGTGAACTCTGAGGATACTCCCTCACTGCTGATCACTGAAGTGCTCCCCATAGAACCCCTGGGTCCAGCCCTAGCTGCAGTGTTTTAACCCGTTCTGTAACTGGGCTATGCTGTCCCCTCTCTGCCTCACAGACTGAACAAATTCTGGACCAACTGTAGGCAGGACCTTACCTTGACTAGGAATACATATCTAAATATGCATAACTCTGGCCCACTACTTAAGCCTCAACTTCTCTTCAGGACCCAGATGATAGACTTGAGGAGACACTGGGTTACTTTGACTTTCTTCCCAATATGGCCAAATTGAATAACTCTTCCTGCTATTTACTATGAATTTGGCCAGCCAGAGCTACATAATGAGACCATTTAAGAAGAAAGTGCCTAACAATGCCACTGTCCTTAGCAAGAGGGACACAACTGCCCCTGGACCTCACAGTTGGCCAAGACCTAGCTGTGCTTGCAAGAGGAAGAAAAAGAAGGGACACTCCATCCCATCTCCACAGCAGCCCAATAGAGTGCAGTCACACTGTCAGCTCAGCATGACATGCCAGTGCCACTTGGTCAAATGCTGAGAGAAGCAGCAGTTAGTACCCGCCCGTGCCTCTGTGTGTGTGTGTGTGTGTGTGTGCGCGCGCGCGCGTGCGCGCACGCACGCACGCACAAATCCTACCATTGCCAGCCACCATCCTGACTTGGATGAACGATGACTCCCCTCTGCTCTGGGCCTGCTCTGACCAGCTCCTAGTGCCTGAGGAGTTGCCAGACACATCAGAAGTACTTGAATGGAATGGACAGGGGGCTGAGGAGGACATCTGCAAGTGTTATGGCTTCTGGGTACCAGGGAGGGAGCCATGAGAGTTAATAGCAGGTAGTAGGTGGAACAAGCCACCCAGGGCCAGAAACATAAGCTATAGGGGATGTTTATAGCTGATCAGCTGAAGGTATCATGACCACATGGTGCCTGTAGCTGGGAAAACAGGGGTACTAACACCCTGATGTCAGCAGTACACTTTAGTGAAGGTCTCCAGCCCCACCACTGGGTGCTGGCCTCCATTGCCTGGCTCCTCTGCTTGCTCCTTAATATGAGGGTGGTTGGGTGAATTGCTCAGAGCTCTGAGCTCTGTATGAGCAGCAGCCAGCCCCAATGCTGGTGGCCATGGGGGCACCTAAATGTGCATTCCCGTTGATCATGTTCTTTATTGGATCTCGTCTGGCCATCCTATTATGGACACCTCCCTGGTATCCACATAATCAGCCCCTGGGCTGGGGCATGAGAAGAAAAAGTCATGGGCCTAAGGAGCCCTTCCCAGAGTGGAATGAGCCAGCCTATATGGTGGTCACCCTGCTATCCTACCCAAAGTCAGGCCTGGGGTCAAGGACTGGGTTCCATGTCCGTGGGAACATCAGGTGGGGTCAGTAGTCAGGGGAGGGCATGGCACAGGTATCCTCAGCAGGGGAAGGTCTACTGGAAGGAAGGTCTGCCTCCATTTCTGTCTGGACAGTCATCCCAGGGCCCAAGCACAACCAGCTGGTGCAATCTAAGGGAGTTTTAGTAATTTAAGGCGTGAAGCTTCCCTCAACAAAGGAGGTAAGGTCATAGGCCCAGGGAATTCCAGAATTCTGGGGCTAGGTCCTGCTGAGTTGACAGGAAAGGTGAGTGACAAGGACACTGATTGGTTCCAGAGTCTCCCCACAGCGGCCCTGCATCTTCCTGTGAGTCTAAGGCATGAGTCTCATAGCCACCTCAAGGCATCACCAGTGCCTTTAAACACCAAGCCTCTCTATTTGCTGAGTCAGGTCATGTGATTCTAGCCAAACATGAAAGCTCCACCTGTCAAGATTCCCAAAAGGCCATTCTTCAAATTCAGCAAGTTCCCAGTGTAGACTTCTGGAAGCCCCAACCTCCCCAGGGTCCATTGTGCAGGAGGGGTGCCCAGGAACTCCCCATCCAACACGGTTTTTGTGGACACAGGTAACCCAGTAGTCATTCTAGAGACTTGTGTCTGGTTTTATAGTTTCCAGAGAAATTCAAACTCTAGACTTAAAAAAAAAAAAAAGTT